TTTTTTTTTTGGTAACGTCAGGTTGAATAACTTCTTATGGTTTCACGGTCACCAATCTATAATTAAGGTCATTGGGGGTGGAGAGTCTACCATGTCGCTATACCATTACCTGAGAGGGGGAGGAGTCTACAATGTCGCATTACCATTGCCTGAATATCATTAGACCAAAGTTGTTGGTACAAAATTATGCTTTATTATGACGTATTGCAACAACAGGTCAACGTTTTATGTACGTTTGTTTAATGATCTTGGAGATGAGTAATGTGTACAGTCATAGCTACGTTTTAGGTACGTTTGTTTAATGATCTTGGAGATGAGTAATGTGTACAGTCATAGCTACGTTGTCGGTACGTTTTTCCCGATATGAATGGGTAGTAGCCAGTGACTCAATGGCTGATACGATGTTAAAAAGTACTGACAGCAATGAATTGGTTTTTAATACCATGGATTTGGCCCGTGCCTCCAAAAATTGAGTACTTCTCGTTTTCATTCTGACATATTTTAGTATCTTTGGGTTTATCCTCCCCTCTCAAAACATACTAAATAAAAAAGTATGGATATTAAAATGATGAAAATTACGATAGGGCTACATAACAATTATTTCAGACATTAAAGTATCTTACATCTTGTTTACATGATTTTTCAAAAGTTCGGAAATGTTTTTTTTTTTTTTTTTAGGTTTACTAATAGCAATGATAACCACATTGCGAAGAACTGCGTTCTATAGTTATGCGTCTTTAATCAGCTTAGGCTAAAATATATGAATGCATATGTATACGTGATGTGAAATAATATTCATAATTTACTTTGATGTAAACGAAATTGTATTGTTAATTTAACATATGGATGAATACATTTGGCATGCAGCCGGAAAGTGTGTAAACTCCTGGGTTTTCGTTGTGCTCTGTTTCAATCATATTATATTTATTTTTTTTACAACAGTTACAATATATTTAATTTACCGATTTGATACTTTTCATTTAGTTATAGAAATAATAGTAATGATGATGATTTGTGTCTGCTGTTTTTGGTAAATAAATATATAAATAAAAATAAAATGAATGAATAAATGAATGATGAATGAATTAATGAATTAAATAAATAAATTATATATATATGCTACTGATATAAATATGTCAAATTATAGAAAATGCCTTCTTGGCGCAGTCGGCAGCGCGTCAATCTCATAATTTGAATGTCGTGAGTTCGAACCTCACAGGGGGTATTATTATTAATATTATTATTAACGGCGTAAACTCAGTAACAAAAATAGAAAGAAAAAATATGGAATTATAATATATATGAATATAAAAGCCGCAGAATAGTAGGGGAAGGGAGTAGAAGAGGAGGATGTAAAGTTATGTTTTAGAGAATTAGAGAGCATGATAGGAAGTTTAACAATAGGCCTATGTATGGGGAGGAAGAAGAACATGGACATATATTGTGAATATGGAAAGAGGGTAAATAAGGGCAATGCCCTTCAGAGTGGAGAGGAAAGTATGCGGGGACTAGGAAAGCGGAAAGGGGGAGAATGGGGGTTAGGCAAGTATCTGAACGACAATTGTTATTGCTGATATATTAATTATAAAACTTATTATTACAATAATTGTAATAATACAAATGTTTATATTTTATTAAATAATATTATATTAAAGTACTATTACATTAATAATGATTATAATAATCAAAACTATATCATTAAAATAACATTATCGAAGTATAATAGTAACTGCCTCCTTGGAGCAGTCGGCAGTGTGTCAGTCTAATATAATTTAAGTCTTGAGCTCGGCCTTACAGGGGGAAATATTTACTAAAGAGTGCTGATTAAAACTAAGTAATACATTGTAAGGGGAGGTAGTAGATGGCAGGGGGAGTAAGTTGAGTGAGTGATGTAGTGGGGCAAAACCGGATTATGAGAATACGAGTAGAGCATTAGAAAGACATGGGTGTGCCGCGGAGGTCAACAGGAGGAACAAGAAAAATATGTGAATAGGAATAAGGGTAGCGTAGAGACAATGTACTATGTATTGGAGACTAGGAAAGATGGTTATAGTATGTATATAGTACGGTACCTGGCCAAAACAAGCGGAACCATCCCATTTATAGTGTAGCTCTTTGAAAATAATTTGATATTTTAATTTGCTTCTGTATGTTCCTTGTTAAATTAATCGTATTGTATCTAGATTATCGGACAAAGTTTATTGAAAATATTTTATTATGTTTAAAAGTTTGGTAAATTAAAAATATTTTTTAAGTAGTTCTGGTACCGTCATTTAATTGGATTCTTGGTTTCTGTTAATTTAATTTAAAATCTATTAGAACTCGAAAAATCTCATTTATGCTGCCGTACTGTTAGCAGTCGGGAACAAATTGTGTGTACAGTCCATGTCATGATCCTGTTTGGATTAATGCTTTATTTAAGACTTAAATTTGCTGCAAGTTATACATTTAGAAGGTGGGAAATTTTCGAATATCTTTCTTCAATATCAATTCATCAACAATTTCAATCAAACAATTTTGTAAGCAAATTTAAATATTTCTGGACAATTTTGAAATCTTTTTCTGATATTTTATTTTCAAAGTATCGTTTTGTGTTGAAGCATATTTTACATTTCAGGCAATTTTTTCAATTGTATAAATTCAGAATTGTAACAAAAAAAAAAAAAGATCAAAATGAAATTGTTTAAGAATTATTTTGTTCATCTAGCTTAAACATTTAAACATTTTTTTTTATAGATTTCAATTTAAATATTTGATAAGCTTATAATTAGAATATAATGTTTAGAATTGCTTCTGTGTAGTAACACCAATCTGTATCACAGCTGTCTCTTATACACATCTAGATGTGTATAAGAGTACAGTATATATATATATATATATATAGATAAAGATGATGATGACGATGACGACGATGATGATGATGATGATAATATAAATGAAAACATGAACACGATGATGATAATTTAAGAGTAAAACAACTTTAGAATTATATATCAATTTGAAACCGACGATAAATCAAAGCAATTTTTTTTTCTTTGATAACCTCAGATTTATTAATATGCTATATAGGCCTAGTATATTTCTGATTTTTTTTTTTCAATTATACACTATAGGCATAAACTGTTGCCTGTCTGGCAAACGTTAAATGGTACATGATAATGATTTATGACGTATCCAACAACAGACCAACGTTTTGGGTACGTAAGTTTTATGACTGTGAGTAATGCATGCAAGACATGGCATGCGCGTAAGTTCGTTTTGTTCACGATACGATACGCATGGATACGGTTGACTCATTAAATCGGGCACGGACAATGACTGCTAAGAAGTTATAAGAAGACAAAAGCACTGCAACAAAATGGAATTTTAATCCATTATGATTTTGACCCCGTGCCTCCGACAATGGGATACTCCGTAGAGGGTGCTGTATTACATAGTACCTGCTGAACATAAGGTGCAATTAAGATTAGTTGTTTTTTCTATTAAAATAAACACCTCATTCGATCACATTTTACCTCCGTCTCAAATTGCTCTTATTTTCTTCTTGGCAATCAAAACTTTAAATGTTGACTAGTGTATAGATGACACAAACTCAACAGCTAATTTTGAACATATTGCAATTATTACACAAATGAAAATAGGGCCAAGTTGAAAATCAAAATTCGGAGAGACAAAACAAAGTGATGCTTATCCTATGAAACCAACTGACCTATAAGTAGGGGTTTTTTTTAATTGTTTGGAAAGGTAGGTCAAGTTAACCTGCGCATATATCCAATGTCATGACCAAAACACATCAGTTGTCACTGGTATTTTAGCAAGGCTAATAAATTGGGCCTAGGTAACTGTACCAAGGTAAAGTATATACACAGTGAAAAAGTTCAGTACTGTACTGTACTTGAATGATGATATTTAAAAATTTAAACATTAAAAATAAAAGTCCAATATTAATAGATCCTACAATAGCCCCCATCTAGTTACAAAGTAATGAAAAAAAAATTAAATTCGAACGACAGTCACAAAACGTTTAGGAAAATGTACATGGAGTCCTGAGCGTGTTGTTCTAATGTTTGGTTGTGTTTCAGGAGCTGTAGGCCTACTACAAGATGGAGTTCGTGTGGGTATTGATTGTTCAGGGCACATTTTAAGCGATCAATAGTCTTGTCGAGTTCCGAGATCAGCTTTAAAATGTTTTGGTGTTCGCGAAATTACCTTGTTTATAAGTGAAATCATTAATATCAATCATTCAATAACAATAATTAATAATAATAATAATAATAATAATAATAATAATAATAAAATGGGCCGATATTGACCAATGATGATGGCGATGATGAACATTTTAAAATTCATTAATTATATGACCTAAAATTTAAGCTTAAAACATATGACAATCTAGACATTAAAAAACTTCACTGAACTACACATACAGTCAATAATTTAATATACTCAATTAGTATGAAAGATGAACACAACATAAATAATTTTATATAACACACCTCATGGTGGCGCTATTTAAACAAAACACAACAACAAAAACGCCAATAATGTTTGAGTCATCAAAAGAGAATACCCGGCAATCGCGGAGTCCTTGTTCTTTTCCTTAATGTTAACATTGATCTGACATGCCCACAAAAATAATACACACATTTTTATATCAAAAATGTTTGTTTATACTCGCGTTACAGTATAAAAAAAAAATGTTTACTGCCTGTTTATCAGGTCATGGTTAAAACAGTACGTTCTCAGTAATCCTGGAACTGTAGTACAGTATTTGCCTTAATGCCTTCATCTCAGGCTATAAAGTCTAGGATCACCATGCTTCTCAACGTAATCAATATTTGTAATAAAAATTTAATTGGCTTGATAAAATGGGAGGAACTCTTTGATAGGATTGAGTATTTGCGCCATATTGCAAATGCGCCATACGGCAAATGGGCCATATTGCACACAAGACCAATATCAAGGTCTCATTTGAAAAACAGTGCACTATCTTGCACTATCTTAATTTGTATTTCAGCCCTCCAACTGAAACATGAGAGCAGCAATAAGATTTGAACCAGGAATCAGTGCACAGGCAGTGCCTACCTAAGTTTAGCTGACTTAACTACTGTATTCTTAGTCTTACCAGGGTTAACATGCTGGTCTTGCCATGCTTGCTTGTTATAAACCGCATACATAGATTCTAGGCATCTGATTGGTTAAGAAGCAGGCAATAGAAAGCACTAAAATAAAACCACGAATTGAAGTCCTGGGCTTCATCTTTTTTGTTCAAACTTTTCGATATGGGCTTCTTTTCGAGGTTACATTTGCAAAGTAAATGGGGGAGGGGGGGCTTCTTTTCAAAAGGAATGCTGTAAATTTTGGGAATTTGTATTATAAAACAATAAATAAGGCCACTGTAACACCAATCTGTATCACAGAGTGTATTAACTGGCATTAAACTACTGTAAAAACAAGCATGTTTATTTATTTTGTTTTCTGAAATTTATGTACAGTGTATGTACTATACTATATGGAAAAGAAACCCATGGGCTTCTTTTCGAGGCTAATTTTGCAAACTAAAGAGGGGCTTCAATTCAAAATGGGCTTTTTCTTGAAATTAAGCCCATTGGGCTTCAATTCGAGGTTTTACAGTTATTACCCTATGGGATAGTACTTTTTTGCCCTGCTGCACAATGTGCAATCTCTAGGCCGCATTGCTATGTAATTTATGACACACACGAATGGTAAAGGAGACGCAACCTCTACAACGCTGAGAGAGATTGGCCCTTTGATCGTCTGGGCCTAGGAAGTAAGCCTAGGCCTACTTGGTGCGTACTATTTTCATTACTTTTTAGGAGGTCTCGTAGAATCTATGTATTACGTATATAAAACAAATATTGACTGCTCTAGATTCGGGGAATGCTGAAATATATAGCCCCTCAGTGATGTGGAGACCGTAGTCTATCTTCCCTCGGGCCTGCCCTCGGGAAAATAGACTACAGTCTCCACATCCCCTCGGGGCAATAGATTTCACCATACCCCTCATGAGCAGTCAATATTTGTATACTACTCCATAAAACAATTAAGTTGGATGCCCACATATACAATGGTTGTTAATTTCCACTGTTCACTAGCTAGTATGATAAGCATCCGAACATGTCGTCTTGTAATCTGCCATTGTATGATAACGTTTAAAACAAGGAGCCGGGCACATTGGCAATATACATTGTTCGCAGATGAATTCCGTTCGATGACGCTTCACTGCAGGGTTGGAACAGACAATACACTGGGGTTTGGATGGCTGGCCTAATGGGGTCCTGCCCTTGTTCACTGCTACAAAATGGCGTTCAGTTAGACGCTTAAATGGCATCTTTATTCCTCGTTCCTCTCGTTCTTCCGCAGTTTCTTCGTCATCTGATAATGCATTGCCGCAATCAGTCATAGGAGGGCAGTGTGTATCTGTCGCAATGGCTGTTCCTGCAACAAATTGGAGAATACTTTTACAATAGTCATTGAATTAATGTTTTATTGAAAAACTTTACCAGGGCAAATTAATTTTTGCTTTGCCGAAGCACCGTGACTAAAACTTCAGGGTTGGTGGATCAGTGAGTTTTATTATTGCCTTCACTCATCCTCTGCCTGTGTGAGAATGGCAAAAACAGGGCTAAATTCATGGACCAGGGATTCAAATTTATTAATTCCTGAAAAGTGGACTATGAACATAATGATACGTCAAGGAAAACAGACATTTTATTATTAAGCTCTATGAACTGGAACCACATTAGCAACATAACTAGGGATTTTAATCAATATACTTTTAAAAATGCTCTCAATTCATTGGTGTCTCTTCTATTTTGTAATTAACTATTTTGTAATTTAACTCCTTTTTTTCTTTTTCAAATTATCATTTTTGTATTTTTATCTTATACCACAATGAAACCAGTGCCTTTGCATTGAGCGTGTCATCCAGTATAGTTGATCAAATAAACAAATGATGGGATTATATCATTTACTATGATGAGCATATTCACACTAATTAATGATTACAGTATAATGATCATTATATTGAATATATGTTAATAGTGCTGGTGATTATTAAATAAATTAATAAAATAATTACCTTTGGTTATATTCTCATTGGTTGTATAAAGTTGATTGGGTGTTCCGACGGGAATTCCTTGATCACTGTCTTCAAGCATTTCATCAACACCAGATTCATATAATTGATTATCTTCATCATCCTCTAAAAGTACGTCGTCTGAGTTATCTTGAAATCCTTCCGGCTGTACTTGGTTTTCCAGAATTACTGCATGCCCAATATATTCATCTCCTTTAGAATTGGGTCCCGTGCTGATGTTAGATACGGATTCGCCGAGATATCCAGTACCTGTAGGCCTCATTGTTTCGTTTATGACCATTACTTCTTGTTTTACCTGGACATCAGTTGAGGAAGCTTCCATTGGTCTTGTTGATTGGTTAAAATTCTATGAAGTATAAAAAATTCATCTTTTCCATCCAATCATATCATCTTGTACTGTACAACTTTTTTAAAGTAAATGAATAGTTAACATTTAATACATTACGGTGAAACTTTTAAACAAATCAAATTGTTTATCTCATAACCTTTCAACCAATCATATAGCTCATCTTATAAAACTTTTTAATCTGAAATGCTCCCGTTCACAACTTTTCAACCAATCAAATAGACCATATCTCATACAAATTTTCAAACAAAATATATTTTTAGCATTTTTAGAAATGTTCAGTCACTCTAAACAAGGTCAAGGGCCACTCAAATAGTATAGTAAATAGTTTATTCTTTCCATGTAAAAAAAACCAAAAAAACAAGTCAACTTACAGAAACTGAAGAGCCACTACTTCTGTTTTGAAGCCATTTTATCCCCGTTGTCCGTAGGCATTGGTTGCTGTACAGACGTGAGCACCCGGCTGCGATTGATATTTGCCTCATTTTACCTGAAAGAGTGTTAACCCCAATTGGTACACCAGCATACCATGGTTCATCATCATCAGGTGCTACCTTCTTTGGAGTCTGCCAAAAGGAAAGACAAACCGGATGCAATTTTGAGGTGTACTTCAAAAAAGCTTGCAAGGGACAAAGACTGTTTCCAGGTTCTTCATACAATCTGCCACCCACACTGGTGCCAGCATCCTCCATGTTAATCCTCTGTAATTGGTCTTTATGGATAATATACCGAAATCCTGCATCATCTGTCTGCAAAATGAAATCATTCTTGTTCATATCACGCAAATTCTGTCGTCCACGACTACATAAAAACATTGTTATGTCCACAAAGACTTTGTTCTGAAGTCCCAACGGAGTATTAATATTCAGTGCCCCTGACGTCTTTATTTTTAAGAAGTCTGAGTCGGAAATGAATGTCTTAGACCGGACAACAGCTAGACCTGCCTGCTTAAGTCTTAAAAGTATGGCTCTGAAGACTTTAATGCTCTCTCTGAAATCTTTATCCCTTGTTATATCCCAACCATGGATTTCTTGGAAATGTCGCTGCAGACCAAATTTGATTCCATGCATGGATTTGTGTGTGTATGAACTTCCATCGTGTCTGCGTAATGCTGCATAAAATTTCACAAGGAATGAGTCTGCTTCCTTAGATGAAAGACTTTCAACATCTGCAAGACTGCTACCAATCGAGTGTGCATAATCTGAGAGAATAGTAACTGCATATTTTATTTGCCTTTTTGTATTTATTGACTCCGAAGAATCCTCTGTCAACCCCTTTAATTCAGTTGAGCTGATTGGTGGAAATCGCTGTTGTTGCGTATCGTTTAGCGTTGAGTTGTTAACAGCTACGCCTATCATCGCTGGCGGACTAGAAGAAGAATCTGCTGAAGAAGGCCTAGCATCATTATTATGAGGCCTAGGCCTAGCCCTATTCACCGGATATTGATTAGGCTGTCTTTCATTTATGGAGGCCTTTAATAAAACATTCAATTCAGCTAGAGTAATATGTGCAAATCGTGACTCCCTCGAATTATTGTCCGCCATTGTAACATTCAGATTCTCGATGCGATAGTCGGTGTGTAGCTAGCTATAACCATTCCATGACGTCGATCGTGAACATAGAATTAACATATCATTATCATCACATGTCACGTTACCAGCCAATCAAAGTACATTAGCTGGATGCAATGGTAGAAATATGATCTGGCTTCAATTCAGTGCAAGATACATTTTTAAAAAGGTCTTTATAGCGAATGTTTTTAATTATTCAACAATGTGAACACATTTGATCGTTGATAAAGTTTCTGGTTTCAATATCATTTGTTATGGTTCTCACAGTTGCCTCTCCAGATGATTCCAGGAGTAATATGGTCGACTATACAGTACTTTTAACCAATCATTAATTTTCATTATGAATTTTAACCATTGTCGATATTTAATTAAAAAAAAAAAAAAAAAAAACCCAGTTGCATCTTATCGTAGGAGGCCTACTTTCAAGCACTGCGTACTTATTTTTCAGGGCCTCAGTGTGGTGTATAAATGACTTCTCAATCAATAATCTTCCAAGTTAATTAACTTTGATTTGCAATAAAAAGAATAAAATTCTCATTTTTTTTATCTCTATGCCAACAGGGTTTGGAGAGAAGCTTCCCCATCCCATTCGGGAAGCTTCTATCCAACCCCCGTCTGCATAGAGATAAAAAAGAGTATTTTTCCCATATTAGTAGACTCTAAAATCGATTAAATAAGCCTGTGAAACCCCTAAATTGTAATAGTTTCTGGAGGATTCGCCTCCTGGATCACTGCTGACAGATTTTAAACGATGATCGACCACGCTAAGTTCTTCTGCTCTAGTCCGGGAATCGGTTTGGCAAATTTTGTGCCACCCTTGACATCCTGATAATACGAAACATCGAAGCACGCTAGTGTACTCTCGATAACGTTCATAGGTAGGACAATTTTCTTGGTTTGTTTTTTCTCTCGCCAATTGCTCTGGAACAAAAGCGATTTTGAATGTTTTATGTCAAGGAGGAAAGAATGAATAAAATATATTTCTCCTTCCTTCCTCTTCAACCAAATAGAAGCAACTAAATCAGCCTCAGATCCAGAATTAATTCTGTATTTTGATCAATTAATGATTGTTGGAAAAACATAAATAAAAAATTTCTATGGCCATTTCAGAATTCATCAGTAAATCCATAATTAGAAAGTAACCACATGTTTCCATCCAGATTTTAATTTGTATTTTTGTGTACTTTATGATACACACCAAAACATTTAGGCGGAACCAGAACCATAATTCTTACATGGGTGCAGGCTGGGGATGCCGATGCATTCCCCATTATTCATGTATTATCATTAATACTATCATTGAGTTTAAACATTATTTATAAATAATATTAATAAATATAAACTCTTTAAATAAGAAAATGTACAATGTACATAGACTTCAACATAAATATCATAATAAATTATTAATTTATGTATGGAAATGTCAACAATTATATTACACTGTATATTGAAAGGTACCAGGTACCCATTTATATGCCTGGGTGGAGAGAAGCAATGCAGATAAAGTGCCTTGCTCAAGAACACCAACGAAATCCACAGCGAGGTATTGAAACCCTGATATCGAGGCTGGGAAATTAAACCACTTGTCTAAACATGCTCCTTGTGGAGCAAATAGACTACACTTCCTTAATTTGCAAAAACACTAAACACTAAACATCTCATCTGCCAGTCAAACACACACCCTTTCATGTCACTACCCTTCCACTTTCATCTCTACCCCTCCCCATTGGTTCTAATTATCAATAACCTTACTGTATTGTTGATTGCCCCCCCCCCACCTTAACCAATTTGTAACTCCTACAGCTTATGTTCACCTATCACATAACATTAGCTGTTGTGATATTCGTAGGAGCATTTTGCTTTGTATTCTGCCATTGTATGATAACGTTTGAAGCAAGGAATCGGACACATCGGCAATATACATTGTTCGCAGATGAATTCTGTTCGATGACGCTTCACCGCAGGGTTTGAGCAGACAATACACTGAGGCTTAGACGGATGGCCTAGTGGAGTCCTGCCCTTGTTCACAGCTATAAAATGGCGTTCAGTTAGTCGCTTAAATGGCGCCTTTATTCCCAAATCCTCTCGTTCTTCCATGCTTTCTTCGTCATCATTTAACAAAACACTGCTGTTATTTAAAGGACAAAAGTCATCTGCGGAATATACAAGATACATATATCAGGTTTTATTTATTGTACACACTGTTATCATTTTCAAATATTTCAATAAAGATGGATTATTCCAGTCAACAAGAATCTTGTTATAATAATATGATGATAAAAATTATGATATTGATTACTGGTATTTTAAGAATGATGATGTACTGTAAATGATAATAATGATTATCATGGTAGATAAAGACAGGGAGATAAGGATAGGAGAATGTTCATTATAAGGTTGATAAAAATAAAGACTGTATCAAAAAATACTTAAAATTATGATGTTTATGATGGTGAAAATTAATATCAATAATGATAATGATAATGACTAATGAAGATGACGACGATGATGATGATGGGGGTGGTGATGACGATGATGTGGATGATGATGATTGTGCCAATGGGGATGAAAAGTATATATTCTGCTGAATGTTGACCACAAAATCAAGACAATGATGTTGGATAAGTGATGTAGGTCTAATTGACTGATATCCCTATACACACTTACTTTCTTCTGTATCAAGAGCTTCTGTATGATTTTTGTGTGTGTTTCTAACTGCATCACCTCCAACGCCTGCAAATGCCTCATCCACATACAACTGACAGCTTTCGTCGTTCATTACAACAGAATTTACCTGACCAATGCCAACAGCATTTGACCGGCTAGGTTCATCCATTAATCGTTTCTCCAATGGTCTAGTTTCCTCTATCATACTATTCTGTAACTCTGTGATGACCCTATGTTCTTCAAATTCCTTGTTATTAGGATCAGGAACCTGTGTATTCTTGATCCCTGATACTTGATCTCCTATATATTCCAAAGGATTCAACATTCCTTCCACCATCTCCTCTTTAATATGGACATCTGGTGATGTTGTTGTCATCAGTAAAGTTGGTACTGCTATTGATGTTGTTGTCATCATCTGAGATGCTGGCAGCATTAGGGACGTGGCTTCCATTTGGGTTGTGGTTGCCATTGATGATGCTATTGGCAATTCTGATGGCAGTGTTACTGCCCTGGGTGAAGTTGTTGCCATTGGCAATCTTGTTGACATAGATGATACTATTGATATTGGTGATGCCGTAGTGAAGGGCGATCTTGTTGCTGTTAGTGACGGTGTTGCCACTGGTATCGATGCTTCCAATTGTGAGGACACTTGGCCTACATTCTGAAATAAGAACATATAATATATTATATTATTTAAGCGCCTCATTGTTTAATGTTGGCACTATAGTAGAAAAAATATAGATTAAGCACCCCCTCTTTTTTGAAAATAGGGTCTATGACTAATTGAAGGGTTCACTGCCAGCCAACACTACAGTAATCGATGCATTTTATTATTATTAATTATTATAATTATTACAGTCTTATTATTATTATTATTATTATTATTATTATTATTATTTATTTTGTATTATTATTTGGTAAAATCCATGATTAATGTTTAAACTTTGAAAAGTGGCACTTTTAAACCATTATACCCCAATCTGCATTACCCTTAATTGCATAACATTTTCACTTCTTTTTCCTTCACAGGATGGTGGCTGTCTGTTTGCTTGCTTCCTTGGTACCACTGAAGATGATAAGTTCCAACTAATTCTCCTTTTCATCCCTTTATCAAGCTGGTCTTCACTCATCATTTCTCGGAACTCATACCATTTTCGATCAAGCTCCAAATTTGAGGTTGCTCGTATGCACTGGTTGGTGTAAATCTGAGACAGGTTGGCTGCAATGGATATGTTACGCATCATCGACCCCAAAGCATTGTGGCCCATGTTAACATTTAGGTACCAAATAGGGTAGTTTTCCCCGACGACACCTTGTTTTGGTCTCTGCCACATGTTTGGGTTCCTGGGACTCAATTTGGAGATGTACTTCATAAAAGACTTCACAGGACATAGTCTATCACCTGAAAAGAAAAGGCAAATATACATAAACATATTTACTTCAACAAAAATAAAAATTAAGTGCAACATTTAAAATCCCTTCTCCAAAGTAAGATAAAGCAAATAAATTATAGAATTGAGTTTTAAATTCCAAATAAGAAATGTTTTAGTAATTTTGTATACATCTAAGAACACAAAACAACAATAACAATAGCAATAACCATGGCAATAACAACATTATCAATAATAACATATAATAGTAAATAATAATAACAATGACCATTATAATAAATAATATTAAAATTATTATTATTAAAATTATTATTATTATTATTATCAATACTAATATTCTTCCAAGTAATAATAATAATAATAATAATAATAATAATAATAATAATAATAATAATATGCGCTAAGTCGATTAAAGGGGAATATCTTTTGTGTTAATTTCCCCTTAATGTCATGTTATTTTCCCCTTAACGTCGTTTTTTTAATTGTTAATTTCTCCCCTTAAGGTTAGGTTTTAGTAACATAATAATAATAATAATAATAATAATAATAATAATAATAATAATAATAATAATAGTAATAATAATAATAATAATAATATTAAACCAATGCTATGATGACGTGCAAACTAACCTACTAGTTCATACATTCTGGCATCCCTGTCATCAAGATGGTTTCTTCTAAGATAACTGGCTGTTTGATGGACAAACCTGGAACCATTGTTATCTATAGAAACTTGAAAGTCCGATCTCTTCATTACATGGAGGTCCTCACGTCCCTTTTTGCATAGATGGAAAATCAAATCGAAAAACACTTTTCTCTGAAGACACGTTGGATTATCAGTACCCAGTATATTCTGATCATACATCTTCTGCCTATCTTCTAGTGTGATAGGCTGTTTATGGCGTACTATGTCTTTACCATCCTGCTTTAACCTGGCAAGAACAGCACAGAACATCTGATTAGAAGGCCTAAATCTAGCATCATTTATAACATCAACATTCCTAGTTGTAACAAAATGCCTTTGCAAGCCATAGCGGAGAGATATCATGCTTTTCTTCATGTATATTTCACCGTTCCTTTGCCGCACTTCTGCATAGAATCTCGTCAATACCTCGTCCAACTCGGCGATGCTAACTGTGTAACAGTCAGCAACAGTTTTAACTTGTAGGTCTGCTTTTTGCATGATATAGTCAGTAAATACTCTCACAGCATTTTGGATGATCAGTTTTGTTGTCGTCTTACTGTTAGTAGATTCCATAACATTACTCATTTCGTTGTCACTCAAAGTAGGATGCGTTTGATTTAGCGAAGCCATCGCGGTAACACTGAACAAAATAATGGCGTCCGCATAAGAATGCAATAGGCTCACAATACTATCATGTGATACAGCCCGTCTATTGACTCGCTACAGCTCACATCGCAGTACACTTACTACCAGGTCAATTGTTTACTCCTTCCAATAGCGCGTAATTTATTCGAACCAATCAGAAGATTTCCTTTCGTACAGTAATATTATTTTTAGATTTGATCTCACGGGCCCGAAAGATAATCTCCGCCGTGTTAAAGCAATCGTTACCTGATACATTTGGGTGAAACTCTTTCCGCTAAGATTATTTGATTTTTTTTTTTTTTTTTTTTTTTTTTTTTTTTTGGCAATTTTAAATTAGGCCTATACTTTTGATTGTACTATGCCAGCGGTCATAACACAAAATTAGGTGTCGCGGGAAATTTCTGTGTGGACGTGTCATCAGTTCAATCGTTATAGTCAAATTTAGTTCGTCGCTTTATCAATGTAATTGATAAAAATACAAAAACCTTACCATCCACTTCAAGTCTCACATAATGTTTTGAAAAAACAAGTTTTCCACATGTACATAGTAGCGAAATGTATTTTTACGAATTGTCTTTTTGGTACACCAACATTTTATTCCTAGTAAAATGCTATTAACGATCACAATGAACAGAATAAAATACGTACAGAGACGGTATATGGCGGCACAAATTCAGTGTAATGCTTATGACTTGAAAAGACGGCATGACAAAAACAAAACAAAGAGACAGGATGGCAGTACAGGGAGTTCTTTATTGACTTGAATTAGGCCTAGTGTTTTCAGGACAATCGAAATGTACTTTTTAGTTCTTTGGTTCACTGGCTGTTTATTAACATGTAATTTAAGTACGGAATGATTGACGATGAATGTATTGCAAAATAACCCAAATAACCTAAATTTACTAGGTCGGTTGTTTAATAAGAAATGAGCTGCTGCTACCCGGGAATCAGGCATCAAACCCTCCAGTGCATCAAATTTAGCAGAGCTAAGACCCGAGCTAAGAATACCAATCTTCGGAGCGTTTTGATAGTTTTGTTTTCAGGGTTTAAATACTGTTACTGTTACTGGCATTTATAATGCGCCTTTTCCTTCGGTTGCAAAGCGCAAGCCAAGTGTCCTCCAGATTCAGTTTCAATCAAGAGCAACTGATCCACCAGTTCCAGAAAAACTTCTCATACCACACAGAATACAGTCTATGGATAAACAACAACATAAAAAGACAACAAAAGACACAAACAGAAACAAAGACAAGTGAATTTATAGGCAAAAATGGATGGGTTTTAGGTGATCTATTGAAAATATTAACATTAGAAATGTTCTTAAGATCATGAGGAAGATTAAAGTTCCAGAGTTGGGCAGCATAAACTGAATATGAAAAACTATCGATCCTCTTATTATTATTAATTGTTAATTTTTTTTTTTTTTTTTTTTTTTTTTTTTT